GATGATGATGATGATGATGATGATGATGATGATGATGATGATGATGAATGCATTACTAGGGAACATGATGGAATATGTGACATTCGCGATTGCTCTATGTCCAACACATGATGACATGATACACCACCCCAACAAGATTCTCGAGCAAATTCCTATTTAGGCCTATGGACTCATGAAAGCCATGTCCCGGCAAACCAGCCGCACATGCAGGCGACTCATGTGTAGCTCAAGTAGGGAGACCCCCCAGGCGACTCAAGTAGGTCCGGTTCAGAACATCGACCAGTCTACCCCGCCAGGGCCAAACAGGTCCTCTGACAATCCACATAGGCTATAGGGCTCCACTTTAGGGGCACGGTTGGGAGGGGCTTAGTTCTGAAAGGACCCCATGTCCGAAAAGGGCTTTGACGCCAAGCTCTTCCGGCGCTTCTGCCGGATGAACTCGACACGACAGTGCAAAGACGACAGTGCAAGACGACGGCGCAAGACGGGGCCACCAGGGATGAGCCTCCATGAGCCTCTGCATATCATGCATGGAATCGCATTCCAAAAAATTCTTAACGTGTTCCACCAATCATCAACGAGATCGACGGAGTGCGAGTCGAACATCCTAGTGTTTTTTCTGATACAAAGCAAGGGACGTAGAAGTGGTACGACAGAGTAAGCCCCAAAACAGCTTGCTGGCACCACATATAATATATATATATGTGCATGAAATTTGGTAGGTTGGAGGCCATCGCTATTGGGGTTGGAGGCCATCGGTAGTAGGTCTATCTCTCTTGCGTATGTTACTTATAATGTATATACATTTTATGCATGGAATTTGGTCTCCCCCAGCTCGGTGCCTACCACACCCCTGGGCTACAACCAATCCTCAATCTGCACAAGAAAGGTTCATCCTTTTTGGTTTCCTTGGGACCTCTCCAACCGCCAGGCACCTCAGACCTGGAAAATCTGATTTATTTGGGACCCCTCTTCTCGGCCATAGATTGATCCATATGCTCCTTGAAATAATCATGGAAGTATCTAAAGGACTATTTTCCGAATACCAAGCAGGTGGTGAACTCCACTTCCCTGTGAATGTCAAGACTCAGAGTAACTCTGATATCTTTCAGTTAGAGAAGCATCCCACAGTCAAGAGTTTCAAGTTTGCAGTTGTGCGAGGGTCGTACTTGGCATCGCAGGCCTTGCTTGTGGAAGGGTCAAGTAGGAGTCTTGAGCCCGAGCTGCAAGTGAAAGAAGGGCCGCAGGGCATGCCCCACAGGGCCGCAAACCCCATGTTTCTGCATTTCGCAACGTGCAGTCCAAGATGTTGTCTTGAATGCCGGCATCAGTTTTTGCACGCAGGTTTACACCCTAAGAACCCTTGGACCCGACTCCTTCACAGGGGTCCGGACCCTCAAAACCTTTTTCCATGTGAGGGCCCGGATTCTAAGGGCAAGCATATATGAATTTGACATTGCTCCCTTGGGGTGGCTTTGATGCATTGTACGTGCCAACAATGCCAGCAACTGTTCTTTGGCAGTCATGTTCGTGATACCATCCACACCCAATTGCCTTCATTCCCAACAAGGACTCCAGACTCCGTAGCTCATCTGCAGATGTAGGTGCCAGAAAAGTTCTTCTCTTGGATGTGCTTGACATTGAGGAACTGGGAAAAATAGAACATATGCTGAATTCCCTAGAAGGGGATTTACTCATAGAGAAAATAAAGATCACCCAAAGCAAAGCCAGATTTTTCAAACAACCCCCTCGGACACTCAGCCTTTGCTATTTGTCTCCTGATCTTCACTTGGCCCGTCCAATCACAAACGGTCTGCCAAAAGACTGCGGATTGGCTTTCGATGTAAAAATGATCAGAATCTCTGGAGTCTAGGGATCCACATACCCTCGAGAAGGTGCTTGGGGATGTTACAACAACTGTAACTGTCTTTTTATGTCTATATATATATATATGTTTTCTTTATTTTTAAATTGTGTATATTTATTTGTATCCCTCCCAAGAAGAACGTTTGTTCGTGGTTCTCGTGCCCCCCTGGGGTCACCTGCTCCCAACCCCGATCCATTTTCTCCAGCGGTGGGTGAAACTGCACCGATCCGGCCGCAGCTCGCCAGTTCGGTCAAGAGCCTCGTGGGCGGCGCGTTCAAGGCGGTTGAAAGCGTTGAATCAGAGGGAGGGAGGTCTGAGAAACGGTAAATAGCCATAATAAGCTATATCCCCCATGAGGGAATTTGTGGACAAACAAATCCCATGGACGGGCCAAAGCTCCATATATAGAAGCACTTGAGATTGGTTTCGGGGAAGCTTCTTGGAGTTTCTTGTCGCCCAAAGTCACCCATTTCTTTAGGCTCAATGAAAGTCCAGGAGTGGACATCTCCGGATCCGCATCGGTCGAGCGACTGGGTCCCAAGCTTCCAAATCGGTCTTTCGTGACTGAGCTTCCATGGGACACCCGGGATCCTAAACGGGACGACCCACCAAGCAATGGCTGCAAGTCGCTGGCAGGAGACCAACCGCTTCACCTGGCTCTGCTGACCGGTCGGTCCGTGGCATGCCAGCAGCGGACCAGGAGACCCTGACTAGACCGGGTCACGACCCATCCAAATCGGTCGGTGGAAAGAAGCGTCCAGGACTCCCACGCTATGTTGGGGTGCCGATCAGTTGGGGTGCTTTGCCGGATCACACTCGCTGAGATGGCGACGCGGAGTGAAGACCACCCGTCGTCGGATTCAACACGCTTCAACGGTCTTCGGGGGGTGTCTTCTGCCATCCACGTCACCCACGCCGTGACCCGAACGGAAGCGGACTCGACACGCCGGGAGCTGTGAAGCGCACTGACCTGGGTTTCAATGGGGCTGAACACCGGTCGGATAGGAGTTCCAGGTCCCTAGAAAGAGGTGACGACCCCGGAGAGAAGAGACACCAAAAAGAACAAATACACGACCGAAAGGGTCGTGTAAATCTTGGATTTGGAGGTCTTTGGTTGAGATATGCCAGATATGCTAGACCATAGACTTATTAGGCCAAATCAAAAATTAAAAACTGCAAGTCACATCTCTCACCGACCTTTTTCGGATGCGCTCAAGTCGTCTCACCATATTTCGCAGCCCAGCCACACCGGCCGCAAGTGGTCGCAAAAGGGCGGCTCCTCTCAAGCGATGCCAGGCAAATCGCTGGAAATGTCGAGGTAGGGCCGTCCAGTCAGGTACTTCGGAAGCTCCAATCGTCCCTTCGCACGGGTCGACCCTCTGTGCCGCGGAGAAACACGCCGTAGCAACCACAGGGTGATATGGTGGGTTCAAGCACACCACGGGAATCGCTCGCGAAAAACACGTTCCCTGAACAAAAAACATGGTGGAAGGGGATGGCATGGCCCCGATTTTGGAGGACCATGAAATCCGAAGACCAAACAGGTGGTGGTTTTCCACTTCCATGGCTTCAGGGAGTGTACATGATATGGAGAAAGAACACGATGGCACTATAGACCCAAGCGTCTTTCTCAATCACTGTCCAAAAAGCACCGGACATGTATGTGTGTATATATACTTTACCCTGCCCCAAAGATCTACCATTTTTGCCTGTCGCATGCCTGTTTGAGTGATATTTTCAGATATCAAATTAACCTTTTGAACAATTTCACTGATTTCAGAGAGCAAATTGAACGGCATAATTTTGACCATGTTGTGGTCTTTGACAAGGTGTTAGTTAAATCATTAATTGGTTCAAACAGTTTTGTTTCACCGGCGCCTATGATGATTCTATTGTCCTTGTGTTTTTCGGTCAAGTTTTAAAATCGAAAGATTTGCCATATAGATTTCATCAAAGAAAATGACATTAAAATTGTTATGATCAAACTCTGGTAGTTCATCCCGCTTATGAACTGGATGTTTTTAAAAAATATATGAGGTTGTTGCGTCACCTTCTATTTCTTGATCCAACCGGTTATGAGGCACTACAAAAAATGTTTACGCACCTTTCAAAATACTGACCTATGTAACTCTTGCCCGATCCAGCAAATTTTGCTTTGATCCTTACATACTCCGGGGGTGTCCCATTCATCCACCACCTCTATGGGTGCATTTTCTAGTTTGGGAATTTCAATTAAGTCATTATCTCTAAATATGTACTTATTGGTTGGAAAACTGATGATTTGTTTGTCAGTCTCCACTTGCCTATGCCTCTTCAAAGTTCAATATTCCAGTCTGATATGATTTTATAAAATGGTTTGGTTTGCCCATCACTCTAATCAAATCGTCTTCATGGATCGTGAAGGCATCACTCTCCAGTGAATAGACCGTAATACAATTTTCTGAAATTAACTATGCTTCATACATTGAAAAATTATGATACTGAAGAAGCAGCTCTTTTATACCTCTAAGCCCATTGACTAATTCATTTCTATTGGTGGTGATTAAGATGTAATAGGTATTGCATGTTTGTGGTTTCTTCTTTTTCTTTTTCTTGCTGTATGGCACAAATCCTTCCTCCAAACTCCCTCTGGTAATGGCAAGCCTCCCTCAAAGTGTGAAACAGTAACTCTTCTGCGCGGTGTTGTGATGCGTCCTATTTTCTTTTTGTCATCTTTAGTAAGATCGGTTCCCCATAGTTCATGAACAATCTGGTCATAATTGACCTTATGAATGAACGAAGGAATCTTATAAAATAGTTTTCTTTGCTTGCTTCCAATAGTTTTCTTAAACACTTTTTGTCAAAGACTCGTTCACCTTCGCTGCTTTCTTCACAATCTCTTTCTCCGAGTGCTTGACGTTCTTCGTGGGGAGTTTACATAGACATCGGTCTTTACCCCATTTATGGCAATCCGGGCATTGCTTGCGGACCTTCGCGTGCAGAAAAAAAGAAAAACTATGAGCTTGGAAAAAATGCGGTGATATTAGTAAGTCGAACTTAGAGCCAAGTCCAAAGCAAACCAAAAACACCAAAAAAAGTATAAAACTCTGAGGAGAATAATTGGTTTCAGTGGAACTGCCCCTCAAAGCCTTCTCGCGTCACACCACGCTGCTGGACAACGTGCCCCCAAGGCTCCTCACAGCAGTCTTGCGGAACTCCCAGACAGCCCCCATATAGGCGAAGAGGAGAAGTGTATCAAACCCTGTCTCCTTGGTCCATTGTACATCACCGAGCGCTTCGCCTTCTCAAAGCAGGCTCGGCTGCGCGCAGCCCAGCCCACAGTGGTCCAGCAGTCTGGCTCAGAATGTGGGTTGGCCATGGCAATGGCAGGAAAGCGAACAAACGATCTAAAAGCGCGACGAAAACCTTGGAACGTAGACCTTGGACCTGCAAGTTGCAATCAAGCATGCCTTGGACCTTGGACCTTGGACCTGCAAGGTGCGATCAAGCGTGAGCTCGACAAGGCCGAGGCTTCGATTCGATTCCTCAAGACTGCACTGCAGCAGCGCGATGATTGCAACTTTGAACCGAGACTCTTCCGAAACTCCTCAACACTCAGCACGCCTCCTGTAAACGCGAAGCCCATGGAGCTTACACTGCGCGCCTACAGCATGGCACATGCTTGCAACAGGGTTTCCAAACTGAATCCATTGCAAACACACAGGCCCTTCTCAGCCCAACGGTAACCAGTACCAAACCGGATTGCAAGACACTCTCCTGATTCCTGGCCATGAGCTTCCTGCCCGCCGTCCCTGACGCTTCTGCTACATCTTCTCGCATCACCGGGGCGACGTCGCCAATCCAGTTACATTTTGCGATTGAGCCGAGCACTAGTAGCAAGTGAGTTCGCACGAGCTTCAACAATCATTCAAACAGGCTATATGGAAGACAAGAAGCTTCGGGAATCACTGTAGCAGAAATTCCTTTTTGATGCCAATCACCCCGCGACCTGTGTGAAAAGAGGCCACACACTCTGTGACCTGTAGTAATGATGCTGATGATAATGCTAATAGTACTGGGCATGCCAACGGTAATGCAAATGCTGATGCTAAAGCTAATGGGCCATAGTACTGGTAATGGCCATTCACCCTCGACCTGTGGCAATGGTGATGGTAACGCCATTCACCCTGTGAGCTGTGGGAGCTTCATGCCATTCACCCTGTGACCTGTGGGAGCTTGATGCCCTACAGAGAGTACCTCCCAAGAACCAGTGAACTAGGAAGACTATTACTCACGAGCAGACAACGAGCGCGTACCAACAACTACGACGTCTCGTCCTCAACGTCTGAACACCTTCAACATGCAAAGTCTTAAAACAAGCGGTTTCGAGAACACAGGAAAACTCACACTCGTATAACGTCCTTTTCTAATGGAAATTGGGGTCAACCCTCTTCAGCAGTTCTTTGCTGAGTTTCCCGTTGCTGCTGATCGTCTCTGAGACATGTGGTGCTTCCTGATCTAAGATGCGGCACACAAAGTTGGTATGAGACTCGCTCAAACTCGAAACTTTGATCTGCGAGACGTCTATTTTTTTGAAAGCGCAAGCACAAACAAAAAAGTGTATGTCACTTGTCACAGCTGCCATGCCTGGACTGTCTGGCAGTCTAACAGCATCTCCTTGAAAAGAATCGAACAAAGGCGCTCGATGCGCTTCCGGGTTGACAGGGGCCAGTCCTGAGTTGACTTGCAATTCTGCGTCGGAGACCTCAACACCCACAGCGTTCACCCTTGACCTGTGGCAATGTGGATCACAATGGCAACGCCAATGCCTGTGGCAATGGAGATGCAAATGGTGATGGCAATGCAAATGGCAATGGTGGCGATGATGCCATTCACCCGGTGAGCTGCGGGACCTTGATGCCAATCACCCTGAGACGTGTGGGAGGTCGAGGCCACACACTCTGTGACCTGTAGTAATGATGCTGATGATAATGCTAATAGTACTGGGCATGCCAATGGTAATGCCAATGCTGACGCTAAAGCTAATGGGCCATTGTACTGGAAATGGCCATTCATCCTTGACCTGTGGCAATGCTAATGGCAATGGTGATGGGAATGCCATTCACCCTGTGACCTGTGGGAGCTTGATGCCCTACAGGTAGTACCTCCAAGAACCAGTGAACTAGGAAGACTACTACTCACGAGCAGACAACGAGCGCGTACCAACAACTACGAGGTCTCGTCCTCAACGTCTGAACACCTTCAACATGCAAAGTCTTCAATCAAGCGGTTTCGAGAACACAGGAAGACACACACACTCGTACTAGTATAACGCCCTGTTCTGATGGAAATTGGGGTTCACCTTCTTCAGCAGTTCTTTGCTGAGTTTCCCGCTGCTGCTGATCGTCTCTGAGACATGTGGTGCTTCCTGATCTAAGATGCGGCGCTGCGGCACACAAAGTTGGTATGAGACTCACTCAAACTCAAAACTTTGATTTGCGACGCAGCGACGCGTCCATTTTTTGCGAAAGCGCAAGCACAAAATAATAAGTGTATGTCACTTGTCACAGCTGCCATGCTGGGACTGTCTGGCGGTACAAAAGCATTTAGTTGAAAAGGATCGAGCAAAGGCGCCTTTGCTGCCAGGCAGTGAATGCTCTCCACACTCATAAGATCGCCTTGCACAGCAGCGCTGTCCCCGCCTAGGTGGGGAGCACCCCGACGCGGCCGTTGCTCAAAACAGCAGCAAAGGCCTGGCGAGCGGCTTGGCTTGGATTGCCGTAATGGCAAGGGCCGGGCGCTGCAGGTATCCACCGCCGCAGGCAGCGTCGCCCCAGCAAACAACGGCGCCATCAGCGCGACGGAATTTGCTTGGATCGCCGCCCCAGAAGGGATTGCCGCAGGCCTGCAAAAACTTTGGGCCTGCCTGGGCAAAGGCCTTCTAGGTAGCGGCCAGGACCGGCATTTGCAAAATAAGTGCCAAACTATGTCCATTCCTGACTCCGGCCGCACGCAGTGTGTCCCTGGGCGACAAGAGGCAGGCGTTGGCGTCGACCAGCTGCACAAAGCGGCAGGCGTGGCACTCACGGAGCCAAGCGCACAAGGCCGCGACGGTGCAGTCCGGAGAGGCGGCGTGGATGGAGTGGCGCCCACTAGGCAAGGTAATGTGGATGTAAATCATGCGTTGTGCCGGGGAGCGGGAACGCGCAAGCGACATGTCGGACATGGCCAGGAAATCCGGGACACAAAGAAAGAACAAGCGACGCAATACTACGCACAACGCAGGAGCCGGAAAAAGAGGCGTGCAATGAGGTAAACACTAAACGAAAACAGCTAACGGTAGGGAAAAAGGATGCTATAGACTATAACATGGTGAAGTGTACAGTGCATGCTTCCAATGTCCACATGTCTTTGGGTCCCATAGGGCGCATTTGCCGCGAAAGGCAGTTCACACAGTCTAGGACGAAGCCGGTCGTGAGGACATCGTCTAGCAACTTGTGAACATCAGCGCTGTTGATGCCAGAGCCATCCCTGCTTTGTGGGCGACACGCCACGTGCCTGGAGTGAATTTTGAAGCTTATAGAAGAATCCGGCAGACTCAAGACAATGCAAAGCACCATGCACAGCCTTTGCCATCCCTGACTCGGTCCCATTGTGGATAAGCATGGCTGCTTCAACAATACAAAACGGAGCACCGAAACCGAAACCGATGCAGACCGAAACCGAACCGATCGCAACGGCCGAGCCGAAACGACGAACCAATACAACGAATACAACGCCGCATCGAACCGATACCGAGCCGAGAAAAACATGCAATCCGACCGCCGACACCGAACCGATTGCGCGGCTGCCTCACCAAGACCATTTTGCAACAACCTTGACTAGAAAGGGCAGGTATTTTTGATAATGCACCAACTTCGTGCAGGCAAACTTTGCTGATTGCTTTTCCACACACACACACACACACACCCTCCATTATTCAGCCTTCATAATTTTTATACTCCATTTAGACCGTGGATGTTCTTGAGCCTTTTTTCAACCCCTGAGCAAATTCGTTTTCCTGATTGGCTAAATCCTTGGTCACACACTGCAAGTCCGGAACTTCCTTATTTTTATCCATTTTGGTAGGTTCTGGCCACGCCTGAGCTGGAAGTTTGTTTTTCTTGTCAGTCTACGGGACGGAGAGGGTTCTCTAATAGATTTTCACTGTTCGAACCCGGCCCAAAGGAGCAGGTCTTGACTCCTCTACTGAGAGACAAAGAGAGAGAGAGAGAGAGAGAGAGAGAGGGAGCGAAAGAGGGAGAGTCACGAGCGCAGGGCATGGGCAAGTTTATACTGCGTTTAGAGTGCGTTTATACTCCTTTGGCCCTGCCCTTTCCACACTTCAACAATTATGGTTTGAGGTGAGAAGGGGTTGGTCCAGTCTGAACCTATACCTGAATGGGTTCCGCCCTTAGCCTTCTTTAGTGGGCTTCGACGCCTAAACATGGCATAAACCCGGCCTTTGCCAACATTCTCCCTTGGCATCCGCAGTCTTGGGTTGCGACTCAAGTTGCAACCTGTGAGAAAAATCACCTGGACATGGTTTCCGCCCTTAGCCTTCTTTAGTGGGCTTAGACCTGTTTGCTGGGGAAAGCGCGAAAGCTCTGGTAGTGAGCCGCGAGTTCCTTGAAGGAGAAGTCTATGTGAGGAAGGTATAAGCATGGCCTGAACGTAGTATAATTCACCCGCGCTACCTGGAAGCTGTTATGTCTTATTTTTCCTAGGTCAACCCTGCAATGGTCTTGGTGAGGTGGCCGCCGCCCGATTTGCCCTCGACGCTGCTGCTGGCGCTGCTGGTGCTGCTGGTGTTGCAAGCCGAACCGAACCGATGACCGAACCGAAAAAAAGGGAAAACAATACTTTCAATAATGCATGTAAATGTATTGAACCGAACATCGAACCGATAGCATGGAATTGAAACGTCAACCGCACCGATGAAAAATTGAACCGAAGCATCCAACCGATAAAAAATGATGCAACGCCAAACCGAACCGAAACCGGATCGTTTCGACCATGATAAGTGTCTTCGGGCTCACTCCCTCACACGAACTTGACATGTAAAATGCACGGCATTGCAAGAATGCATCAGCATGTTTCCACATTAGCTGTTGGGCTCAAAGTCTGAAACTCAGAATCATGTCGTTTCATTATAAATATATAATACATATTTCATATCATTTTACATTATTGAAGGAAAAACTATAGGCACCCCTGTCGTCGAGCAAACTACCCTGAATAGATGGTTGGAACCCGGCATAGATGGTCCTATAAATACAAACACTCTGTCATGTTCGGTGGGAAACTGTATACATCAATGCAATTCTATATAGCACTTTAGTTGATGGAAAAAAACAGGCACTGGGCTAACTAGTTAGACCAGTTAGGCTTTGAACACTTCTAAGTGCACTAATCAGTTACTAAATTGATCATTCAAAAACATCAAACACATTCAAAAACTGTTGTGATGTAAATTGTTGCTAAATGTTACTAAGTTGAACAACTCACATGGCCTATATGGAAGATTTATAACCAAACGTAGACCCACTTACAACCTGACTTAGCACAGGTTAGTAACTTCACTATTTGGGGTAAGCACTTACTATCCCACGAGATCCTTCAAGTAGCCCAAAACCAGAAGATCCGAAGGGAAAATCCCAACTCCGTGGCCTTTCACTTCGGACCCATCTTTACACCCGTCGATCGAATCGTCTTCTCGCACCGTTGTCCTCCCCCCTCGGAATCGGTCTCCTTCCAACTGCGGGCGGCCGCCCACGCCTGCGAAGACCAATCAAATCGCCACGACATACGGTCCCCTACGACGTAGGCGAGCGTACGCTCGCCCGACCGTGTCGCAGCGCCCGACGGTTCGTCACCGGCGGTCCGCTTTCTTCCGCTCTTTCTCGATGGGTTTTGGAGCGCTGTTCATCGATGAATATCGTTTCGGTTTTTGGTTTCAAGAGGGGTTTTGGACCTCCACGTGCACCTCAAACAGAGACAAGGTCCAACACATGACTTTTGTAGCAAGTCAAAAATCGGCAGAGGCCACGTCATTTGGGGCCATGGCCATATCTACTCTGCGGACGACCTTTGAGAAACGAGGGCTTCTCTGGTCACAGAACCTTCCATCGTTCGCTCGTGCTCCGTGCTCAAACCGGAACGCCCTGCGAGGGCCCGGATGATTCTGTCGAATTGAGGGCCCGGGGAATCACAAAACGGTCAGCTTCTCGGCGAAAAAACGGGGCTTTCGGAAGAGACAAGGACCTTGGTGGTCGCATGTGATCTGCAGTTTGCCTCCCTTTTTCTTCTCGCCTTTTTTTGACTAGTCATGCTCAGGCCGTGGGGTGAGGAAGACGGCGTGCAGGGCAACTACCCTGGGTGCGAGGTGGCCGATGCAAAGGTCGGCCTGAAAATCGCTCCTAGCCAGCATAGCCTGAGAAATGGAATATCTTGTCCAACATTGATGACCATCGAACCCAGCTTGCATCCATGGGACTCACAATAGCTATTACATACATGTACAATGTACCTCATGGAGAGACCCCAATGTAGGTAACTATTCCAGTCCCATGGATGGTCTGGGGAAAATGTCATCACATCACTTCCTACAATGCACTCGAACTCTCTGAGAGATTTGCCTATCAAAGCAGCTTTGGTCCCTTTCGTCCTGGCTCGTTTCTTAGTGGTTTGCATGCGCCTGGACCTACCTACAATTGGAAAGTAGAAAAAGCCTTGCATGTGTGAAATCGAATCAAAGCTCCAGTCTGGATTCAACCTTGTCATTGACCCGGGCATTCCCAGTTGCCAGTGTGTTGCCGGTTACGAGCTTGAGCAGGCAGCACTTCCACCATAGCAATACCCTTCTGCATGTTGCAAAATCTGCTCGAGAAAATCGGATCTGTCTCCCCTTTTAGGACTCCGCACGCACGCCTGACACGCCGCTCCGGGTCCCCACATGTTCCGCTTCACATGGCCCTGCCTGCAGGGCGTGGCGGAGGAGCGCCAACTGGGAGGCCTCACAGTAGAGTCTCAGCATGCCTCGCAGCTGGGAGCCTTGGCAGTTGCCGGCCAGTCGGACGGCTGGGAGGTACCCCGCACAGAAGGGGGGGCCGGAAGTTTTTTTTGGGGGGGTGCCGTTTTTTGGATGATTATTTTGGGCGGTGCGGTGCATCTGTCAAGATGAAACAACTAAGTTTGAGAGATCTTTTAGAGATGCTTCATCAGTGATGTGATGTGTTCGTGGGAGATAACTGGAGTTGTGGTTACCAATGTTCGATCAGTTGTGAGTTGTGACTGGTCCTTCTCAACTTCGTACATTGCGAGAGACTTTCTTGGTGAAACCACTGGCACCAAATCCCACCACCTACTTTCTGCTCACACAAATGTTCCATTTTGAACCTTCAACAGTCCTTCCATGCAACGGTGTTTCTAAACACCAGCTATGAACACCCCTGTGTTTCCACACCCATGTTTCTACACCTCAAATTGCCACCCTAGTTTTCCACCCTCCCAACCTCGACCGCTGCAGTCTGGGCCCACCCAACTGGACAGCTGACCTCGAGCCGCGATCCCAGGGGTGCAAGGGCCCAAAGAAGATCTTTCGACCGGAACATGGCTCAAATAGATTGGTCTAAGTCTGAGTCTAAGAGAGATGTTCCTACAAAGGGACTCGAATTTGTTTCCCCTCCGTGAAATCAGGAAGTGGAAGTGGAAGTCCACGTAACCAAGGTTGGTGGAGGGAGGATACCCTGAAATATTCCGTTCCAGACGATCTGTCAAACACCGGCGTGCCGGCTGGCACGCACAAAAGGCTGGCCTACATGATGTACCTCTAAAGCGAGCAAGATCCTCCTGCAGCTCATGGTGTTCTGACTGTTTATGGAAGAATCTGTAGAGAGTTTTTCCTGATATAAACCCACTCTGGACTGGAATGCACAAGCAAAACATGAACAATCCTGGTTCAAGTTTGATTGTTCTGGACCTCGAGATATGTAATGATTAAACATAGGGTGGATTTCCAGTGCATGTCATCTACTTCTCGGACTGCTAGCAGTTTCTGTTTGCGTCTCCCTACTTTTCCACAAAACCAACCTTCACATCAGTAGTGTCACTTGCATCTTTGCATGCGTTCACCTCCGTCCTCTTTCACCCAGTAACCACTCAAAGCACCGTGGGAAAGCGGCGGCGGCTTGGCTGCTTGAGCCATCCGACACCCTTGATTCAGACTCAGACAGGAAGAACAGTATGCCTAGTATAACCAGCGAAACAAGTGGTCTATGTATTACAAAGCCGTAGGAATTTGGTCTATGACGGTTGTCTTGACGGTTGTCTATTAGCAGTCTATGCCAGCCAGGCTGTTGATCTTCCTTTAAGAAAAAACTGGTCCATGACTACTAGTCCCTGTGTTTTCCTGTTGTGACCCTTCTGCATCGGCTTAACATTTGATCCAGTGGCCGTTGCCCAAGCGCAAGGCCAAGCATCTACCTGTGGTGGAACAGTGCGGCCAGCGAAGGGGCTAGGCCGAGGTCGATTCCAGGTGTCATATACCCACTGGCTGTTTAACGGCTGTTGATTGGGGGATATCCCCTCTATCAATCAACCAAGGAGGAACACGTAGATTTCGATCCATGGAGGCTGGACCGGAGAGATTGCGGCTGGACCGCAAGATGGAAGGAGGTGCAAGTTCCCTATATAGCTTGGGTACATATCTATTATATATATATATATCCCACTATATATACCAGTAACAGCAGGTGATGATGGTTAGGTTGCCCGGCCTTTCTCAAAAATTGTGATGATCCTTCAACTCATACAGGGGCACACCCTGTCTACCATGTCGTGGGTTTGTGGCTTCTGAGACCGACCCAATTCTTGACATGTCTTGACCAAACACTCTGTTCCACCCGGGAAGGGACCCAAATGGAACCTGAAGATGGACCTTTGCAAGCCTATTTTCCTCTACAACCCGACGTGGTTTTCAGGTTCCATATATATATATATGGTTCCATGTGAGTCTCCTCCACGAGCGTCAATCCGTTTCTTCGCTCGACCTCGGCCGTTTGTTCGGTGGGAGGGTATGGCGTCGCTGTGGGTCATCGCACCAGACGACCGTGACGACCAGACGACATGGTCAACCTACCAGGGTTGAACCGGGCGTCGAGACAGTGTGCATGACCAGACTGGAGACCTCCTGAACCCCGGCTGGTGGAAAAAGAGGTCTCCCCATGAAGATGTCGAACTTGGAGAACTTGGACAGTTTTTTTCACGAGTTTGATGGAGTTTGGCTTGCAAGCTTCCTGTTCGGTGCCGTGCCGGAAGATTGAGGATATAGCTTGGGCCGTTTTTGCGTGCGTTTTTGCGGCCCATCGAAGTGCATAGCTTAGTGCAACGACAGGTGCAACTTGAACTTCTGCCTTCGATGGAAATGAGAAGGATCACCTGCCCCCCCCCACCATATTTGTTGATCTTGTGAGCACCCGAAACACTCTGCAATGGTCCTGTCTGCTTTCGTGTTCGTTCTCCCCTAAATTTTCCCCACCTGATCTTGCCTACCTGCCATGGTTCTTGACTAGTTCGAAACCAAAGCAAGGCCCACACGATCGCTGAAATGAAGCACCTGAATGATGCTTCTCTGCAGCGAGGGTCTTTGTCCTCGGCATCTGAACCGATCCACAGCTCTTCAAGACAACTGACTCTATTGATCTATACTGATCTCTAATATGTGTACCTAGCACCCATTTGACCTTTGTTTTGATAGGAAAAGACTATGTTTTGGCTTCAAAACAGGGGTCAATCAGGTTCTAGTATATATATATATATTTATATATATAGACCATTGCATTCACCACCATCTGCTACTTTTCCCCTGCCAATCTAGTCAAAGACGCACCACGAGAGTGGACATGTTTTGATGCATGGACTTTTGTTCAGCTCTTTTACCTGCTGAATCCGAATCTTCTTGGTGAATCCGAATGGCACCCGCTTCGAGATCGCCAGTGTTTCACACCTCTGGCCTATCCATCACAGCACCTTTCAGAACCCAAGCCACCCTGCACAGTCCACCCTGCACAGCCCGAGCCATCACACCCAGCAGACCAAGTCCACGTCGTCGACGTCGACCGAGGAAAAAACTTCGACTCGATGCCGACGTTCTCTCCCAAAAAACAGAGTCTCGACCCTTACTCGCCACCAAGGACAACCTACACTCCAAATGATCATCGTGGAAGTGGATGGGATGGCCCCTGGTTTCAAGATCATATTCCGAATGAACAGGTGGGTTTACACACAACCTTAATGGAAGTGGATGGCATGGGCATGCTCCGACAGGAGGATCATTTTCCAGTTCCACGGGGTGGCCATCCAGTTCCAGGGAAATCCAGGGAGATACTTCGCCTCTCTGATCGTCTGTGCTTCGCTCTCATATCTGACGACGCCAGCACCGAGCTCTCCCCAGTCAGCTCCACACTGCCCACCATGTCAGAGAATAAGAGGTATACATATAGGTATACAGTAGATGGGTCAAAGCCGCTGAAGCCCATAAAGATTGAAACTGTGGGATGCATCATGTGACCGTTGCTAGGAACAAAATCCTTTTGCACTTGGGATATGCATATGTTATGAGATGTTCTAGCTATTTCTAGGTAGGGGGGCATTGCATCTAGTTTCAATATAACATGGTGCAGTGTTTCAATGATCAGCACAAGCTTCCTCTTTTCCCTTAGCCCCACCTTCGAAGAATGCTCTGCATGCATCGAGCATCGGTCGTTCCACTGGCCGCTGCGCGGCCGTCGTTCCACTGGCGGCCTGGGCGGCCTCGTCTGCACCTGCGCCGTGCCACGGGCTCCGATCGCGTCCATCCCACCGGTCGGCCGCTGGGCGAACACCGGGTGCGAGTGGTGCGGGTCGGCGAACAGAAGAGCTCGACCGCGGAGAGTGGTGCATCCGAACACCACCAACACCACTAGGATGAAGGAAGCACAGAGGAGAAAGGCGAAAAGATCTCCAAGCTCCCAGCAATCCGAATCAGAAGCCCGGGAGATTTACTTTGTGAATTGAACAAGTGTTTGTTCCAGCGGTGAGGCTGAATCGATTATTAGATGATGTTAAATGAACAGATGGAATAATCCATGGTCAAGCGAATGGCATGGCCCCCAACAAGACGATGTTCCGAATCAGGCCGTTGTCTACTTTGATATCTTTTGATGATTCTTCCAGGGAGTGCTGCAAAGGTTGGATTTGGTCAAAACTCTCAGCCAGCTCTGATTCTGTGTGGCAGTGGTTTAGGGCCGCCCGAATATGTCTCAGGTATCAGGTAGGCAATCGAACATGCACGACCAGTTGCTGAGTGATCCCCAGTGCTGTACTGGTTGATCTGGGGCACTCTATCGCCTTTCACACCCCGCGGCGCCAGAACCCCATGAGAAGCCCAACAGCTCCTGGCCTATCTCCCTTTCGAAGGTGGTAAGGGTGGGTGCCAACCTTTTAAGGATATGGTTGGAGAACCCCAAGTTTCAGGGGAGCACCCCAACATCAAGGTCTTATTCTGGCGTTATTAGTCACGCCAAAAGGTCCCCCAAGTGGCTCGGTCTCAAGAAGAACACCCGTCTCAACGGTGGTACCCATCGGATCCGCCGTGTTCGGCGTTGCGCGACCGTTTTCGGCGGCTTCGGCGGTTTCTTGATCCCACCGGACGGTCTTTGCCGAATGCTCTTCGGAACGTCCGTGGGTTCGACGCGTCACGTCGCATACGACGCGACGACCGCAGGATCACGCTACTGTGCTTCTTCAGTGGCAGGTTCACCGGAGGTTGGGCATCCGGATGTTGGGGAAGTCTAAATGAACTATCAAAAACTAACTATGATGGGAGCTTCAATATAGGAACTCTAGATGATCTCTGTTTATGATTGTTTGTGGGAACTCTGCTTTTTGTGTCCAATCCATCTGTCATGACCTCTGCATTTCAGGCTTCGCTCTGCTGTCGGCTTCAGCCTTGGATCTCCACTTCTTGGGCGTCTCGAAGCCTCCTTTCATCTTCCAATAAGCGATTGCGTCGGACATAGAAGGCTGCCAGAACAATTGCCACCACAATCAGACCTGTAAAACAAACAGCTTTCGGAGGCGTTTCAAGCAAAATCAAGGGCAGGAGGTTTTCTTCAATGACAGTTCTTTTGTCAAAATGCTGCCGCTAATTTGACTTAGCACTCACTACCTCGCGAACAGCAACTCTGTACATAGCTCCTTGCCAGCTTCCAGTTGACAGGGGATATATGGCAGTGGGTCAAAACCCGGATTGTGAAGCCCCATCCGTGCTGGATGATGTACGCTTTCTATGTATGCTGAACAGTGTTGCATGGAATCAGTACGTTGATAAGTACTCCATCAGAGTTCGACTCTATGGAATCCCATATGTAAAGGCCAAGAGACTCGGAAGCCAAGCTGTAGCATTTAAGCTATTTTTGGCAGTGCTTTCGATGGTTTTTAGAAGAGCTGATCAATTTCAATCAGCTTGGGAATGGACGGATCATCCAATGTATATCACAGATCCACAAGTCCATCAACCGAAGACCCGACACCAGAAACCAGGTCAATCGGGTATGCACTTCGTTACTTTGGCTCAAGGCTCAAGTGGAAAAAGAGCGCGAGCGAGTACAGTTGCTCTTCATGGTAGCGGAGCTATGGCATCTTCTACCGATCCTGGAGCAGATCCTTCTATGCCTTCTGGTGAACCTGGGACGGCAGTGAGGGAGGATCAAATCCATGATCTGGAACAGAGGATCCAAGGCCTAGCTGAAGCCTATGGTTCGTTGGTACCTGCCGTAGAAGCTTTGACTAACAAGTTGAAGGTAAATGAATTGCCATCACAAGGTAGTCCTAGCTATGGGCCGGTGCAGTCACCACCAGCACCAATGGTTCCAACACCTAGTGGTTTAGATATGCCTGGACCAGCAATGTTCGCCCCAATGCCAGAAAGCGGAACATTTGCTTCGTTTGATCCTTTGCAACAGAATGATCCATGGCAGAATGCCCAAAAGAGCTTCTTCTCCCGAAAGGAATCCTTTTGCTAGTGCAAGTTCGAGCAACGCTCACATTCCTCCACCAGGGTTGCAGCAGTCACCACGAGCAATGCAGTCGAAATCCGTTTCGACGTTCTGAGAAGTGGATGCCTGCTTATCCAGTTCCACCACATGACAAGTGGACCACCCGACCGGAGGAAGTAGAAGGGTTCATTAGCTACATACAAGACCTTGCATCTTGGGCCGGATTAGGAGACAATGAATGGCCGAGAGAAATTCTTTGGTCACTTCGTAGCCCAACAGTCATTACATGGAAGCAGATGACCGCAGCTCAGATTACCAGATCCACTCGTTTGCTTTCAATCTTGAAACAGTGCTTTTCAGGACATGCTAGAGCAAATTTGATTTTGGGAAACTATGAGTCATCACAAAACCGTGTGAACTGTTGTGGATTCGAAGGTGTTCGTTTGCTGTCACGAGAGTTTGGCATCAAGACCCGAACAGAGCTTTTGTTCTTTAGGAACCGAATCACCAGTGGGGTTTTCAGGTGTGCCACCATCCCTGAGACCGTTCGACAGATCCAACATGAGCTTTTCAAGTTTGCCCGCATTCAGCGATTGGTTGATCCTAGCGTGAACAATGCACAGCTGGACATCATGGAGCCCGATCAGATTTTGATTCTTCTTCGTTCGTTGCCTGACGCTTGTCGACAATGGCTTGTTCTCAATGTCGTGCAAGAGTCATTCCAAGCCTACACAGAGGCAGCACTCAGGTACGAGGCACAGCAGAGAGCCTGGTCAGAGTTGAATCACAAGCCAATTGCACAATGGAAAGACAAAGGAAAGGGCAAAGGTGGAAAAGGGAGTGAGGACGAGAAGAACCAGGGAAAAGGTAAAGGTGAAGACAAACAACAGGATAGCCCAAACAAGGATGCCAAGGGTTGTTTCAAGTGTGGTAGCACCAAGCATTTTGCACGAGATTGTCCACACAAAAATGAACAATACTACCAGAGCAAGGACAAGAAAGGTTCGGGTAAGAGCCAAGCAAAGGGTAAGACTAGCAGCAAGGGCAGCAAAGGCAAAGAGACCAAGGGCAAGGATAGCAAAGGTAAAGGAAAAGGAAAATCCAAGAGTAAAAAAGGACAACGAGCAGCAGAGTTCTCTGAGTCATCAGACTATTGGTCAGACTATGATGAAGGCTGGAATGAGAGCTGGGAAGATGATGATCAATGGTCAGAGATCAGTGACGGAGGACGCCTTGCTTCGTTTGTTGGGGTCGTGACCTACCACGAACAGAACGCAGAGCACAAGCAATGTTCGCCAGAGACTTCGGAAAAGCAGAAGTGTGAAAGAGTTGATGCGGATCGTGTGAATGCCACATCGCTGGTTCGATGGTTGACATGTGCATTGGTATTCGCAGTTCTCAACATGACATGTTTGGTATTGAGTGTTTGTATTCATCAACCACTGATCTACCGATCACAGAATTGCAATTTCGAACACACAGTTTGCTTCGTTTCATTCGAGGGTTCGTTGCAGTGCACAGGGATTGAAACCAGTGACGGTTATTCGACCTTGAGGGAATTCATGAAAGGTTTCCATCCAACAGATCCAGGTCGAGCAATGAAGCCAGAACCCCTTGTGCAGTTCAAAGCCAATAGAACCCCGAGAAGAGATGTAACATCGCTCAGCCCAATTCAGGTTGCAGATCAGCAGCACAACAACAACCAACAGAACATTCGGATCCGAGCTGGACGAGTACCAGTAGGGTCGAAGCAACTTGTGGGGCAGGGAGTGTGTTCGTTACAGGAAAGAAGTCAAGAAGTCTTTGGGAGCATGAATTGTAGCGCTAATCAGACTAGACCTGATTCTTTTGGTACAGAGTGCAATGAGTTCGATGACGAAATAGTAGGGCCACAAGAACTTGGGTTTAGAGGCATGCAGCACATTGTGTTTAAGCAAAAACGGTCACAGTCACAAGAACGTTGGTTAGCTGTACATGAAGTCTTTGCTCAACAAGTCGTGTACCATGATTGCTTCTAATTGGATGTTTCATGGTTGATGCAGTGGTTTGTCAAGTGTATCAATTTTGGTCTTGTGGAACCACAACGTCAGCTATTCGATGTGTGTCCGAAAGCAAGTACAATAGGAGAATCATGTTTGTGTGCCGAGCTATATCGCATGTACACAAGGCAATGCTGTCGTGCTCACGACACAGCATGGTCGAAACATGGTAACATAAGTGCCTGCTTGCCATGTGTAGCATGCCGTAAAAGCAAAAGACACGGATGCCGGATTCGGAATAGGTTGGAAGTCAGATCGATGCAAGTGGATGAAGAGCGTGAGCGAGTACAGATGCTCTTCATGCCACAAGGTTCATTTCGGTCGTGTCATGCTACCCGATCTAAGGAGAATGGATTCTTTGGATCTCCTCAAGATATCCGAGGATTCGTGCCTGCCAGCATCAGACGCCCCATCTCCAAGTCACTCTTGCCACGTCAATGGCATGAGCTGGAATGGACGGATCATCCTGTGTATATCACAAGATCCACAGATCCATTTACCAGAAGACCGACACCAGAAACCAGAGGTCGATCGGGTATGCAGAGAGTAGGATCCCACCAAGCTACCCAGCTTGCCCTCTCCGTATGTAATCTCCCGAGATCCCTGGATGCGAAGCTCCATCCGTGCTTGATGTACGCTTCGGTGTATGCTGAAGAGTGTTGCAGGGAATCAGTACAGCATAAGTATTCTGCCAGAGCTGAGCTCGATGGAATCTCCATATGTAAAGGCCAGAGAACCAAAGGCCGAGCTGTAGCATTTGAGCTATTTTGGCAGTGCTTTCGATGCTGTACAGGTGTTACGTTCGATCGCATCGTTCGTCACTCTCAGGTAAACACAGGATTTCTTGCCCTCAAGATGATCTTGGATGAGCAGAGTCATGCATGGAAGATGCATTTCGAGCCTGGGATTGAGCATGCCGGGGTTGTTCGGGATCAAAAGGTTGCAAATAGTAAGATAGGTCTGGAGAAGAGATCACGGGATCAGAATGCAGGGCACGAGAATGCAGAGCATAAGGAACAAGATATGAGTAGTAGGTTCATGGAGCCAGACAAGAACATGACTTCATGGATTCGTCGAATGCTCTGTTTGATGCGATATTGCACATCTCGTGTTGATCAAGTTCCAAACGAGCTGTGGGAATACCAGACAAATGAAGGGAGCTTGATATGTTCGTGTATAGAACACACGCATATTTGCCAGCATCACAAGTGCAGCCTGACATGTCAAAATGTTTACCAAGGGATTCAGGAACAGGATGTCAGACGCAAGGCATCGTGCATTCAGAGTTGGCAGAACAGAGAAACTCAGAAATGTGCAAATCAGCGTTTCCGAGGTTTGGAACAGCAAGTGTCCGGTTTGGTAGGCAGAAACAGATCACGTATAGAGGCAGATAGAACTTGTGGTGATCAGATGTGGGTAGGTGAGCTAGAATTAGCCGATCGTGATGCAAGCACATGTTTCCTGAAGTTGGAGCAAAGAACGTTGAATGTGTTTGATCAGTTGGCAGTTCAGCAACAGAAATGTGAACAAAGGCCTATTCTGTTGTCTCAGTTCGATTTGAAGATGAGTGCACATGTTCAAGTGTTTGAGCTTGTCAGAACAGCTTCAGATGCACGAAACCTGTTGGTTTGGATGCAGCGTATGAACCAAGCCAGCCATTCAGGTAAAATCGACACCGAGACACCTGAAGTATGTCCTGACAGTCCCTACCATTGGGAAGATCTTGGACACGTTGTTCGTGCATGGACGTTGAGGCCAGCATAAGGGAGACAGAATGGTCGTGGAAAGTTCGATCAGTTGGTCGCATGCTTGTACGTTGAAGGGCATGTGAAGTTGATTCGGCATGATGGCAGTGTCGTTTCGGAAAGGGAAATAGATGTGGTCATGTCAAAACGATCAGTCAAAAAGGTCCTGACAGGTTGTTCAGGTTTGAAGGTACAGAAGCAGGTGATTAGTCGATGTAGAGCCTGTAACATGCAAAGAAGCAGGTTGTTCGACAGAGGAATGATCGCTTGCAAGCAGTGGTGTGGTCAGTTTGACATTGACGAGAAGGCAATTGGGAGTTGCCGAAAGATGTTGAGCAGATTGGTTGGTAACAAAGGACAACCGGAGCATAGGCATATTGCACTAAGTTTGCAAGTTGAATGTACAGTGTGTATGAATCTTGAAGATGTCGAGGTTCAGGTGAAGGACAGGTTAGCCAGTTGTGGTTATCTGTTGTGTCGCATGAGATGCGATGTGATCCAAGGGATCGTAATAGGTCGTCATGAGCAGATGTGCTTTTGTGCATTTCCAGAGAGAGCGTATCATAGGTATGCACATGAGAAGACGATGTTGTTGCCTCTAGGAGGTGTGACCACAAGGTGGTTGTTGCACATGCAGACGAAGTTGCATAGGTGCGTTGAGTTGCCTCTAGGAGGTGTGACCGTAAGATGGTTGTTGCGCGCGGTCTTTGAACACGAGGTTCAAGAGACGTTGATGTCATGTGACGGAAGGTGTAGGCCGCATAGGATGCGAGTCGTGTTGGCCAGACAGGTGGACTCCTGTGAGAATGTGGTGAAGTTCGAGAGGAACCGCATGGTCGAGCCAAGGTATGGCCACGTTGAGAAGGCTACCTGGCAGTTGATGTTGTCCGGATGGGACGTGAAGGGGTTGTGTCAGTCATCCGTTTGGGTTATGGTACACATGTGATATCAGGTATCTTCACTGGTATCCAGATGGTTTTTGAAAATGTGATGAAGTTGATTCTTGTTGGTGATTTGAGGGTGCCAACATCACATGTGTGTCAAAGGGCCCATTACCGGATGCAGCGACTTACCCGACAGTCACTATATGCCCAGTTCGGCAGTGCAGATCTTGAAAGAGACCCAATGCAGTTGGAGGAGGTGTTCATGGACTTGGATGCCAAAGTTCTTCAACCAACTCATGTCGAACGATATCTTTCTCCATTCATTGTCCGTTTGAGGCAGTTGATAGAACGAGAGAATAGCTTTCGTTGGCATGTGAGTTGTCAGTGTTTCAAGCTTGGGGTGATCAAGGTGGAAGTCGGTTCGAGCAACACCACGAGGGCCAAGGAAAATCCAATTGGTATGAGTGACGTCGCGGCAGAGAAGGTTCGAACCAGAACGGAATGAGCATATGCAGCAGAGATCTCGACGTGTACAGGTTAGATTCATCCGAATCGCAATTTTCCAGAGGACAATCTTTGATAGTCACCACCATGTCGGCCAAGGTGAGTCAGAAGTTGTCATTATTTTGAGCGCTCATGTGTTTCAAGATGTTTCACGAAGTTCGAACGAATATGTATCACTTTCGAATTACCAGATGCATGATTAATCATATTTCCATTTTTACAGAGTTCGATTTCAATTAAGTTGAAAGCTCGATTCTAATTGCATTTCACCCATTGGTAGCCATGTCAAAGCGATCTCGATCTAGAGAAGATGAGCCTATTGGAAGTCGGAATACTGCAAGGAGAGTGTCCCATGATCCTCCAGGTTCATCGCCAGACAATCGACAGAAAGTGCTACCAAGACCAATCGGAATCCATACAGCGGAATCCATATGTGTTTGAAGAGGATGCCGCAGTAGCCGATGCGTTATTGGAACAAGAAGGTCCAAGGGGGTCAACAACTGAAGTTTCCACTGGAGTATCCAACACAGCTGAACAAAGCAGTGTTCAAGGAAGGCCAGATGTGTCCGAAGAGTTCGATTCGAAGACTGAAAGCCACTTCGTTTGAGTCTATACGAATGAGAGAACCCGACTGATTGGAGATTGGAATGGGTTCGTTCATTTCGAGCATTGCACCAATTTGCTTCAGCAAGATGCGATTACTGGATTTCAATGCTGTGATTGCGTTGATTTTTCCCGTGTGGTCCATGGAATGGAGCTCCACGGTGATTGGCCTCCGAGAGGATCAGATTCATCGAGACTTGCGCACATGAATGGAGTGTGTCAGTATATGCAGTCGCTTTCGATGGAACGTTTTCTTTGTTGTCCCAACTGCATGGTAAAGAAGAGAAAGATGTGGATGGGATGAATTTGAGTGTTTCAAGTTTTCTTTTGCTGAGATCCACAGTATCCCGGTCCTAGTTCCTTGATTGACTGCAGAATTGCAGATTCGATCGATGGAATGCAGATTTAGATGTTCCGATGAGTTGTGGAAAGTTCTTTGCATGCAAACCATTCAGCATGGGGGGGTGTGAAGCTCCATCCGTGCTGGATGATGTATGCTTTCTATGTATGCTGAACAGTGTTGCATGGAATCAGTACGTTGATAAGTACTCCATCAGAGTTCGACTCTATGGAATCCCATATGTAAAGGCCAAGAGACTCGGAAGCCAAGCTGTAGCATTTAAGCTATTTTTGGCAGTGCTTTCGATGGTTTTTTAGAAGAGCTGATCAATTTCAATCAGCTTGGGAATGGACGGATCATCCAATGTATATCACAGAACCACAAGTCCATCAACCGAAGACCCGACACCAGAAACCAGGTCAATCGGGTATGCACTTCGTTACTTTGGCTCAAGGCTCAAGTGGAAAAAGAGCGCGAGCGAGTACAGTTGCTCTTCACGGATCCCCAAACCAGGGTAGGTTGACTATAAGGTCCCATAGGTCGTCCATTCTGTTCATTGTCTCTGGTCAACCCAGGATCCGCCTGCCATGATGGATCTCCCCCCCTTCCAGCGACCCAAAGGCACCGCCGCTCCCTCCGCTGTTCTTGATCCCACAGCGATGGGACAAAAGCAACCCACAGCACAGCCCGGCACAGGCGGCGCGAAAGAAGGGACCGAACACGACCGGTGCCTCAAAACATGCATGTATACAGTGGTTTCAGACCAAATGACACTGGCAATTCAAGATGTTGCTTAGATGGGGATTCATATTATACAACCACCTTTGGGGGCGCTTGTGCCATCTACTCTGAAACCAGTGTAAATGTATCCTCCGATGAGGTCTGGAGTGCAAACGCGCAACTTCACTAACTTAAGCTGCTTCTTTTCTTCTGCTACAGCACCTGCAAAGTCCTACAAGTAACTATCCCTGTCATCCCCTCTCGCGTCATGTGAAGAAAAAGCCAGAGCCATCAGGAACTCAATTACTGGCAGGCTAGATGGGTAGCGAACTCACAGATGTTGCTATGGCTAAATATGGCTAAAACAATCTGTTACCCGTGGCCCGGGCAAATGACACAAATCTCTAAGACCTCAAAGGCTCTGTCAGGACAGCCCACTCATCCCATCCCAGAATCCGGCCTAGCATGATCCATAAAAGAGGATGACCTCCCGATGTCTCTTCTGGTTTCTTCGCTGGTCCGTCGGGCTGCTCCGTTGTTCCATCGGGCTTCGCCGTGGGCTTCTCGGTGGGCTTCGCCGTGGACTCCGCGGGGGTTGGATCTGGCATGGGCCAATGGTCGATAGGCAAACCATCCACGTGAGGAGGTGCCGGGGGCTTCACCACCTCAGAAGCGGCTTCTCCAGAGGCAATGCCCATGCAGTGGCCACTGTCGACCGAGTATTTGCCGGAACAAACGGTATTGGCGTCTGCCACCACAGCGGTATCCAAGACGGTAGTGACCTTTCCATCCACCAGCTCACCATAGGAGTAGAAAGCCACATAGAATGGGGCTCCCATCGTCACAACACCCGCACAGGCATTGGGGAACTCGCCAAAGGTCTTGGTACATGTCAAGGCAACTGGAGCACACACGAGCCTGGGATGTGCAGGTCAGAACCTAGGAGGCGCTATTCAACTGTTGACCACTAATGCTAAGGAAGAAACAAATCATGGATGTCAACCACCCATGGTTTGGCGGGGGATGTTTTGACTCACACCCATTTAGGCTGATCTGCAGGGGATCCAAATATTTCGGATCGTTTGGCCAAGGTACTGGCTCATCTTGGAACATGTTTTCGTTTTGGGTACTGCAACAGCCACTTTCCAAGTGGAGCCTGCTTTCCACTGCAAGGTGTATGATGAAGCACACTCATGAAAGCACTCGATGACCAGCTTCTCCTCAGGGTGTGTTCGGTGATCGCTCAATTTGAGGGAAACCCTCCTCACCCTGCTCGATGATCTACAGTAGGTCCTTAGGTAGTAGGTATCCAAAACTCTATAGATGACGTAATTTAGAAGGCGCGGTTCCTCCTATGGACACACTGGCTCTTGGATCTGAAGCTCGGAGACCATCAACGTACTCCATGGGACCGGGTTCGAGATGCCGCCCCCAAACAGGGCCCTCGGCCCTCCAAACCACCACCCCTGGCTGTTCTTGGCAACTATGCCAGTCCCAAACAGTCAGAGTCTTGCCCGACCCGTTGACCCCCTGGCTGTTTCGGAGGTCCTGGGGGTCGGTGATCTTGGCGACTCCTGAGAGATCAAGACATCCGAAGTCTGGTGGACCGGTCAACCGGCTCCGAAGTCCAGTTCGACTGGTCTTACCTGGTGGGGCACCGCCCGGTCGGTCAGGATCCCAGCGAGTCGGATCAATGCGGCCATCGCTCGTCCGCTCGTCAGGCCATCTGCTGGTCGACACTCCCACAGTTCACCATCATTCGAAACGATCACAGATCACAGACATGTCCAGAGTGGGAGGTCGGAAGACAACCCCACCGTGGTTGGACCCGATGAAAACACATGCACATGAAATCCTGTTGACATATGTTAAGCATTTTACATCCATTTACAACATCTTACAACACAACCACTCCCAGGGTTGCCAGGAGAGCCGCTAAGAGCGCAAACCAGTCACCAGTGCTTTGTACCAGTGTCCACCCATCCGAACCCCTGGCGGACTCGGTCCGGACCCGGTTTCGCGGTTTCACCCCGCCCACGGCGTCGTACGGCCCGTCCTGGCCTTCCGGTGTGCAACCTCCAGGGCCCGCCATGGTCTCCTTCCTTGGGTCTCTGCAAACAGGATTGCCCGAAAGCTTCGGGGGATCGAGCCCAGTTCGAGGGGAATCTGCAAAAAATAGCCATGTTCTAAAAAGAAAGATCATGCTGAAGCAAAACCAAGTTTCTTCAGATTGGCTTCACATTGATCACCACCGAAGCCAGCCAAGGGAAACCTGGAGCTGGGCTGATCCAACTGAAGCCAGTTTTTAGTAGAGTCTGAATCAGCTGACTATCTGCCAAAAGGTCTGCTGTCAAGTCTTTGAGATTGAAACTCGAGCTCAGTTCCAAGAACTTTCGCAACTGAGAGGATTTGGGGAGATGTATTTTAATCCGACCAAGGGGTATACTGGTCACCTAATTGTTGAACCAAACCCAGGGGGGGTTCATTGGGAAGTCGGTCTCCTCATGTGAGGAACACACCCACCTCACGACCAAACCCGTGCTCCACACCAACGTCACGCCAAGGGACGGCTGAGGCATCCCGGGGACCTCGGGTGGTTCTGGAGGCCCATCCATCTTGTCGCAGGAGGTTTGGCCCCCTTGCAGTCCAAGGCAATTCCCGCCACTCCTCAGCCATTGTTTCGCGTCGGACTGAGCGTGTGACCAAGGCATGGGCGATCAGCGATCAGTCCGAGGAGGAAAAGACTCCCATCAGACCGCGTCTGTGGTTGGGGCGTTGATGTCCCCCCAAACGCTGGTCATCCTTCATGATGACAATCAAGGACGAGCCTGTCATGTTTGTGTCGAGGTGTTTATGGTTGCGCAGCTGAGTGGCTGTGTAGTGTATGAGTACTCACCTTGACATACGTTTGCATCCGAGAGGAGGAGATTTGTGTCCAAGATTTTTTGATAAGAGTTGGGCCCCTTTTCCGCACAGTAGGCATAGAAGGCGACGAAATAGTCAATACCAGAGTAGATGGGCACGATGCCACTGCAGGAGTTCGGAAACTCGTCGAATGGCTTTGCACAGGTCAGTGGTATCTCGCTGCACTGAAAGGTCATGCCCAGGTCCTGCAACATTGCCACTGAACGAGCTCAAAGCCAGTCAACCTTCTTCTACCACACTCAGTCAGTTTGTCACCATCACTACCAAGTGGAGCAAGCCCTGATGATTGAACATGATTGGTTGCTTGTGTTAAACGTGGTGCCTGTGCTTCCTGGGCTTTCTTTCCCCTTTTCCTAGACCACGAAAGGCCCCTTCTGTAAAAAGAGTGGGAGTAAATTATATTGGGTGTTCTCAGGGTGTAGGTTGTGAGCGTTTTTGAACATGAGAAAGTCACCCAAGCATCAAAAACCCTTGAAAAACAGACATTGTTTTATGTCAGTGGGTGTGATCAGTGCACGGTGCCTGACTGTGTTCCCTACCAAACCCTGTGCTTTGTGGTAGAATTGACATGATTTTTCTGAATTCGGCATTCTTTCGAGAGTCCCGCCTTGTTGGAGCATTCTTTCGATTTCGAGATGGCCACGGCCATGTTGGATGGCTTCCCTTCTGCAAATTTCACCGTGTAGGCTTTGGCACATTCCAGCGTACACTCGGCAAAGGCTTTCTCCTTTCGCCACGCGAGTTTCGCGAGACGCGAGTCTGGAGGCCGTCGCTAGTCGGTGGAGGCCATCCCTAGCAAAACTGAATGCACAGAAATGGAACAGCAATGAACCAAAAGAAAGGAATTACACAGTAAAAGAAAAAAACAAATGCAAACACATGCAAAGAAAAAAAACGAAAAACAGAACCCAACACTTCGTCCTACCTGGGGCTTGGTGAGCTTCTTGATGCCGTCCGGAGTGCATGAATCTGGACCCTTCAAAGTTGACACCTTCGGGTGGAAACCGCGGATCCGGCTGTCCAGGGACGAAGGTTGCGGTCCCTTCAACTTGAGAAGGGGAAGACACGAAAAGAAAAAGACAGCCTTAGCAGTCGACACTGGAAGTGATCATCCAGTTATATATGTCAGAACAATGTGACTTTGAGATGGTTGCATTGCCTCGAAATCACTTTGCACACGGAGTTCAAACAGCTACACTGCTACACACCATGGTGAAAAGCGGTGTCACTCTGCCTGTGCATGACAAAACAGAAGTTTGAAGGATGTTGAAGGAGTTGGCGTGCCTCCAAGGTCGCATCACATTCTTGCTGCGCTGCGGCAAGAAGGCAAAGGCTGCTTCCAAGGATGAGGGCTTCGATCATTCCTAAGTGCCAAGACAGTGTCTTCCTTCGTTCTTGTTCTGTTCCTGTCGTTTACAATGTCTCCACCAAAAAGATTGCCCATCTTGGACGTTTGATCTTGCTATTCTTTGCTGCATGCCATTTCTTGCCACACTTGTTCTAGTTTTCAAGCTTGGCACGAAGGAGAGCTCTATCTGTGGAATCTCCCTTCAGTGCAAGTTGATCCTCAGCACCCCATTATGAGACGCTAGCCTTATTTGAATATTAATATTGATTTATATAGTGTGTGTGTGTCTGTGTGCGTGTGTGCATAGAGAGAGAGAGAGAGAGAAAATACCATGTCTGACAGTAGCACCCCTGGAACACCCAGATGAACCTCTGTCCGAGCAAGATCAGCTTCAGCCCTCGTGATGGCCAAATCAAACAACCTCTGAAACCTATAGGCACCTTCAGTACGCACTTGAAACCTATTGGAAACAGGGTCGTCTCACTTGGCTTCCCTTTACCATGCGGTCTTCGAGCTGCACGCTCACAAGACCTGGGACTTCATGTCTTCAATCTGCCTTCGTTCCAGACCTGGTGCCGGCGCCAGACCCGGCGCCGCTCGGGAGCGGGACTCCGGTGAGACTCCGGCACCGGAGTCTAAGTCGAGTTCGGATTTGAGGGTCTGGAAGAGGACGTCGGTGCGTGCTCTGTGTGCTCTGTGTGTATGTGTGCAGATCTTCGTAATAAGTAGCATCAGTGAGTGCTCATGCCACCAGGCAAGTTGCTCATGCCACCAGCCGGCAGATAGGCCAGTTGGCAGACAACAACTTTCTCTCCGTGTTCCTTGAGCCAGTCAACAGCTCCAAGAAAAGCGAGTCCTGGTGTGTCAAATTGATTGAGCATTGTGGGCAAACGGTCGCAGCGCAGCAAGGAGTGACAAGATGGGAACTAATCCACTTCCATGTGCGGCAACACGGCAGAAAACATAGGCTTCACGAACCTCACCCAGTTCATTTATTTGTTTCGTGCAGCAACTACCAGCAAAAATGCTAGGTTGTTCCGATTTCTTACTTCCCTGGTCCTTTGTTGGTTCCAATGACGATCTACAGTCTACAGTTCAGGTTTTCCTCCCCGTTCTTGCCAATGAAATACAGGCACTGCACGTTCTCCACAAAATCCACTCAAGGACTCAAGGGCTCCTCTCTCATCCGCTGCATCCCTTATCAACACACCTATCCACTCTCTCCCCGCCCCACCCGTTCTACTTTCTCAGTCCACACGCGTCGCGTTGGTCCACCGTGCCTTCGGGCGACGCGTCCGGCTCACAGGAGTGGAAGCTCATCGTGCTGTAAGAGGCCATCCTCGGCGGCATCGGCTGCTTCGTCCGGGAGTGCGACGGCCCAGCGACGCCCGGGACCTCGCCCGGAGCTACGAACGAGGTGGGCGCGAGCTACGAACGGAACGGCCGGGCATGACTACGAGTTCCATCCTCGGCCGTGCTGCGGAGTCGAGTGGGTCGAGCGCTCCTTCAGTCGCCGAGGGCTGCGGGCCGGAGTGGCCGTGCTGTCGGTCTTCACAAAAACAACACTCACTCACAAGCTTCCTGGGGACGAAAACGAGTTCGGTTGTTCTCGGGTGGTTGGACACAGTTCCACTTTGAGCTGGTGGGTTTTGGATACCGGAACTGCTGTGGGCAAGACTATGGGGGTGGTGAAGTGATTCGGCACCGGCGGGTTCGTGGGAGGCGCCCTCTTGGCCGCCCTCTTGGGGATTTTTGGCCCCTGCTTTTGATGGAAGTTTTGATGGGAAGGAGAGATTGTCGGATTTTTGTGGGCATACTGGTCTTGAAGATTGCAACATCCGAGACCAAGATGCGGATGGTCAGGGAGAGATGAACATGGGGTTGCGTTGCGACCATGGGAGAGATGAACGGGATCTATTCCATATAGTGATAGGTTTGGCGGTCTGGAAGCATCTTGAAATACTGAGGGAATTTCAAAACGCCGTAGTGCTTCTGATGTGCTGGCCACGTAGCTGGACTGGTCGAGATCGTGAGAGACCCAAAGACCAATGGACACTGTATGTGGATTTCCCCGAAGGAGCAAGTGCAGGAATAAAAAAGGTATAAAGGGGTCACCCCATGATTGAATTCCAAATACATGAACTTCATCCGCCAGTAGACCGGGGTTCTGGAGAATTGCCATACTTAAAACACCTCAAATTCCAAACAGAACCCCTTAAAGAAAATGTTTTTTTCTCAACACAATCTCCTACATCCCAGGACCCTCCAATGGGGTGTCCTGGCTGGACTACCCCACACTACCGGCCGTTCGGCTTCCAGACAGGGCACCCCCACGGTGTCGGGTCCTGGTACTACCCCTTGCTTTCAGGGCATACCGCACACCTCCGTACAGCAACTTCTTCGCGCCGTTGGAGCCCAGCGTCAGCTTCTTTCGCCGCGGCACCTGATCGAACCCCCCGCGCCAGGACCCATCGGTGGGTCACAGCACCCGGGTGGCCGTGGAACACACTTTGGTAGGTTGACACTGTCACTCAGGTACCAGGACCCCTTAGCTGTGATTCGGGGTGTCGATTTATAGCCCCGAAACTCTGTGATTTCGGGGTGTCCATGTCTACCACCCCGACTGGGGTCCTGCTAGTCTATTCGCTTCATTGCCACGACCCAAACCAGGGTTTTCCGGTGCCATGACCCACAGGCACATTGGCACGAGTGGGCACTTGGCCGCCCTTGTCCTTGTCCTTGTCCTTGTCCTTCTTGTCCTCCTTGTTGTTGTTGTTGTTGGTGGTGGTGGTGGTGGTGGTGGTGGCAACCGAAAAGAACTCAAATCCACTGGCTCCACCAGGTCAAAAACCGTGATGGGGACATCCAACAGAGGTTGAAGAACCCGAACTAGACTATCCCAGGGACGGGTACCGTTACGGTGACGAGTCCGTTCGTTCAGGTCACTGGATACCTCTGTTGGATGACCCATGATAGAACCTATAAATCGAACTCTACCAACTATAGGCCCCCCTTCCAAGGGTGGTCAATGGGGTGTCCCGAGGTGAAGCTCTTTTTCCATCGGGGTTGTCGGACCTCGCGTTTCACGGGGTGAAACGAACCGATCCTCATGTCATCTCAATTTCCAAAAACTCTCGATGTCCTCTCTTCACCGCCAAAAGCCACGTGTTTTCCGAAAAAGCCCCAGATAAAAAAGAATAAAACGCAGCCACCAGCCTCACGCACCAAGGCTGCCCAACTGCAAAAGGCTGGGAAAATATGAAGACGTCCGAGCAAGACCTGCCAAAACACACACGGCGATGTATCGAACCCGGCGGAACCAGGTGGGGCAGTTGGGCTGTGTTGGGTTCGCCACCTGACTTGGAGGTGACTCAGGGCGGCGTGACGTGTCCATGAACCACCCCAAGAGTGAAGAAGAAAAAAACGCAAAGTGAGTGATCCATCCAAAAGCATTTGTATGACCCCTGGTGCCATCTATGGTGTCATCAAAGGTGCGCACGAATGTCGCTCACAATCCGTGTATAAAAATAACAAATAGGGTCGGTCTTGAGCATGGAGCACTGAGCTGTCCTTCTTGAATTATGCATGCATACACCAATATTCCTTCCAACAATCATGTGAAGCGTACCCTGAGCTGAAGACAACCTCCTCTAATTACAAAGGGTTCTGCTCAGTTTTACAGAAAGGCAGGGTAGATCCGATTCCTTTCCCGCGATGGCCTCCACCCTAGTAACGATGGCAACACTGTTCCTTCCGTTCCCTCCACGAACATCCTCCGTCTTCGCCCGCCTCCAAGTGACTATTCCGCTTGGCCAGGAAGAGCCGTCGCAGCTCCTCCTCTTGCCTGGCGAGGAAAAAAGCCGATGAGAAGCGTCCGGCCTTCAGATGATTCCTGCACGGCTTTTCCGGGTGTTACTGAGGACAAAAAGGGTTGAACCATGTTGAACCATAGTACCAGCAACTGAGAAATAGTCTTCCCGCTGCCACTTCTACGTGCAGAACTTGACCTTGTCCCTAGTTCACAACACCTGAATGAGCACCAGCTGGGTCTCGACCGAACGGGGTGAACAAGGATGAAACCTGAAGAAGTTCCTGAACTGGCCGTCTGATGTTCGATCTCTGTCTTCTCCAAAACCATGAAGGGGACCGCTGCTAAGCACCGGATCCGCTGCTAAGCACCGATGTTTAGCCCATCCCGACCCACTATGATCCACTTAGTTCTTTGCCCAAAACCCGCAGTTGTATGCCACCCAAAACAGCTCAAAAACAGAGGACCTCCGGCATCTCCCACCCAGGACCTCCGGCAATCTCCCACCCCACGCGACCACGCAGACTCGCCAGGCGGTCATTCGCCGTGTCGTTCGCGTCGTGCCGTGCCTGGCCGCTGCGCCGAGGCGCTCCAGTTGCGTCCACACCTTCTTCTCCACTCGTCGCAGCTCCAGCAGCGCCTTGCAGCGCCTCTGACTCACTTAGCGGCAGATCCAACACAGGTTGAAGACCCCTAAGTGCGACCACCCCGGTAGGTTTCGTTTGGTGATGAGTTCTCAGAAACGTGAATTGGAGGTGAAAAACTCTCAACAAATCCCTGGAAGGATCCCATCTGAAGGACCCCATGTGCCTGTGCCGAAAACCAGATTCTGGGGACCCACGAATCAATAGATTGACCCGTCTACTACAGGCCTACATACAAATGTCATCAAAATTCCACCATCAATGGTATATGATATATACCAGGACCTTCCAACAGGTGTTTTTTGGACACACCCTTTACCTCTAAGAGGCTATTGATAGGCACCTCTTGGATGGTCCTGGTATATATGACATATATATAGCTGAACTAGGTGGTTGACCACATAGGGTCACAAATGCCCCGGTTCTCGGTCCTGGTTCCACTCCGCGGTAAGGCGCACAGGGCGGCCACAGCACGCCACAGGCGTCCGCCCGGATAGTCTTAGACACAGACCCTAAAACACAGGGGAAGCAAAGATAGACTAAATGGTCCTGTGTTTTAGGGTCTGTAAATCAAAACTTTGAAGCTCTACTCAAAGTTTCTGTAAATCTAAGCCAGGAGTACAAACATTGCACTTTTTGAGGGCAGGCACGAAGGACAAAGCTCCCGAAGTTCTCTGCCACGGCGACGATGCAGCTTAAGAGACACATGGAGCACATCCGCAGTTGGTGCATGAAGCACATCCGTGGATCTTGAGAGCATATCACAGCACGAAGTGGGGCACGGCGCCGACGCATGGTCTCCCTTTCGCCCCCCCCCGGTTCCGCTGCAGCCCGCTGCGCCCCCCCCGGTGCGACGGTCGGTCGTTTGGCCGGACTCGCCCACTTGCTTTCCTGATTTGATGTGCGATTCGTCCAAAAGGGGGCTTGATTCCCTGTGGAGAAATATCATCTTCGCAGGTGCTGGATGGCCACACTGTGTCCTATGTTGCATGGTTACACTGGTTTCATGTCCACTTGTCTCAAAAAGCATGGGGCATTCAAAAGAGCACCTTGCAATAGCACAAGGAAATGAAAACCCAAACGATACATAACCTCCTCAATCTTGACACATAAACAAACCTTACATGAAAATGAAGATAAACCCAGGCGCACAGGGGATTGCAAGCTAGTTTGGTCTTCACCCACCTAGAAACCCCCTCACGCGAACTATCCCGGCCTCATTCGCACTTGCCCCCGCAGCCGGCCCAACTGCTTCTTGAGCCGCGCGCACTTGAAGCAGTGGACCACGCGGCACGCGCCGCGGCACGCGCCGCGGCAAGCGCCACGGGCACCTGGGCGGCAAGTTCCGAAAACGTGCGAAAAGCACAGCGAACCTAGGATTCGAACTCGTCATATCGGACCGGAGGCCTTTTAAAACCCACCCCAACTGGAGGATGATGGACTACTTTCGCCTACAGCTGCCTAGCTGAGGCCTTTGAAAAAGCTGGCATCATGCCACGTGATGCCCAAAAGGAATGTGTGGTCTGGTCCATGAATGACCGTGTTTCTCACAGATTCTCACCTCAGATCTTCCTTCGCCGGACTCGGCGGCGACCCATTCGGGTCGGATGGTGGTTCATGCACACCCCTTAACTGCTGGGCTATAAATAGACACCCCTTGGATCCCGATGTCAAGGTGGCGCCATATTGGAATTCACCATTTACATCTTTCTGCTTGGGACTGCTCCAGGAACCCCAGCCCTCCCCCCCCGACCGGACGTCCCCTGACATCGACCACCCCGCGAATGCGCAGCTGCGCCCATCGCACCGAGGGACATGACGAGGGACGTGTCGCTCCGCACGGGCACGGA